ATATACATATTTGTAAAATATGCTCCATACATTATTTATAATATTACTTTGATAACTTGCTTTTATTAAGCTATGGCTTCATTCTTGGCTTTATGGTACATATAAAGGTGTTTATTAAATATGTTTTTTTTAATATTCTTTAAAAAGAAGACTAGTTATATTTCTACCAGAAACTAGAACAACAAAAATAATATAAATAGTAATCTAAACATCTCAGTTATAAGTATGTAGTAAACTGTTAAGGGAACTAGTAAAGTTTTCAAAAAATACTCAAAAAAATACTCGACGCTAATTGGCCGGGCAATATTATTAGAAAAAAAAATTATTAAAAGCTTGCTTATATTCCAATAATTTATAACTGACAGTGACTTTATGATTAAGGCTACAAGGACACTTTCAAAATTAATACTTGTATGTTTTTTTTTTTGTAATTATTTACAGCGTATTTTATTCCTTAATCTTAAAAGAACCATTGCATTATTTTTCTAAAAATTATTTTAAAAAACATACTTAAATTTTAAATAATTTTGTCTTGGTTTTAATACAGTTGTTTAATTATTTATTAGCAATCCATCGTCACGAAAGGTTTGGTTGACCGCAAAATAAATTATCTTCTGATATGTATTCGTGTAGGCGTTCCCGTGGTTGTAAACGTTGTCTCGGAGAAAGTTGGGTCAGGACATCGTAAGATTCATTTAGGATGATGTACATGTACATAATTCTAAGTATATAATAAGAATTGAAGATTATAGTCACGATATCCTAAAATTAGATCTTATGTATGTCATATATGTGAAATTCATTAAATTATAAAATTTTATGAAATAAGCATTTTAATTATTAATGAAGAAGAAAAATAATAGTGTATTTTAAATTTTGCGTAACACAATTCCTAATAGTAATTTTAGATTACTACATACTGCGTTTAAATAGAATGGGCTTCATATGCCTCAAGCTATAATAGTCTGATAATAAAATGTTTAAATTGGCGAAGCCGCAATGTTGTATCCACAATTAACAAATAGTTTTCTATTTGTAAATAGAAAATTACTTTTGGATTTTTTTTTTCTATTTTAGGTCAGACTGTTTCCGCTCATAAGCACTATTCAATAAACCATCAGATTTTTAGGTATGCTGAAAGAAACCCTGATTAACAATAGCGAGATTTAGTATAGATATTTAACTGTATAAAAATCATTATCTGTATAAAAGCTTATTCAAGTACTTTTAACCAATCAGTCAAACTAAAAGTAGGTACCTAAGCTTAAGCTTGAATATTCAAAATGAATATTTTAATATTTTTCACAAATACTTTATAATTAATCTTTATATCTTCAAACCTTGAATTAATGTTTTTTTGACATTTACCGATTTAAATAAGGGTATTGCATATGCGGAGACTTACTATTTATACATATAAGCCCATTACGATATTCTTCTTCCTGAGTTTTTCAATCAATTGCTAGAAACTCGGAAGTTAACAAAATCTGTGTAAAATTACAAATTTTCGTCAATCCCCCAATTTTCACCGAAGTGCTTTTATTCTAAATTATTAAAGTCTCTCTCTTTCAGCAAATTAATGTTTATTGAATACAGTTTTCTCATATTTTTTATGGATGATAATTTTTTCTAAGCAAAAAGACTATTGTGGAGGTAATTTTAAAATGCTTTCTTTTTCAGTGTATATAGATAAGTTTTTTAATGTATAATTTTCGAACAAAAATTTCTTTTTGATACCTACGATACTTGAAAGTGACAGTTTGACAGATGGTGACAGCGACAGCTTTGAAACCCAATAACTAGATGGCGTTGTAAGTTACAATCTGGAAAACATGGAAATAGACACCTTCGTTTCGATACCCATCACTTGTACTATGAAAGTAATAAATTACACAAAGCTAGAAGAAATCTGTCTCAAGCGAGGTGATATATTATTTTGGGATAAAAATTGGGACGTCACCTTTATGTTCTGAGATCTGACCACCATTGTTTGTCTGATTTTTTTTTAAACATTCAAAAGTAGTTATAAACAGAGAAATGTACATATAGTTATTATAATATAATAACAGAGAAATGTACATATAGTTATTTAAAATGTTCTCGGGTTATAGTAAAGGAGATCGAAAGTACTTCATACAATTCTGTTCCCTAAATGTAAAGATATGACAAAAGTATCAATTAAAGGTTTAAAATTAAGAGTTTCTTCATTGAAAATTCTATAGAAATTGACAATCAGATAGCTGAGTTATTGGAGGTTTAGTAAAAGTGAGGTTATATTGCATTATCCTTTTTAGATGAATACACGTAAAAGTATGTGAAAAATAATTCTTTTATTTAGAAGAGAAAATCTGATAAATCATAACAAGGCAATAAAGACTCAAAGACATACAGATATCGGTAACAAGTATGGAATTTTACGAGGAACAGGAAGGTTGAACTATGTGGTAAAAGTCATAGAATAAAACAAATAATTTTAATGGAACATTTTATTAGTCTTCAATAATAATTAAAATTTCGTCTAGGAACTGTGCAGGGGGTACAATGTTAGTATGTTGTTGCTATCCTACAATTCACACAGCGATCCATCGTTTCAGTAATATCCAATCCACAAGCCGGCAAAATAATTCAAATTAACAATTATAAGTCAAACGTGCAGGCGGTCGTCGGTGTCCAATGTGAAAGCAAGGGTCGTAAAACGTAGGCGGGTTCGGAGTCTGTAAAAAACAAAGCAGTGGTCGTAAACAAACGTAAAATGATCGGGAACGCACTCGAAACGCATCGAAAAACATGAAACAAGTCAGACTCAGATAACAATGCATCTGGCAATCTGGCATGGTAATTGTTAAGCGTCAATGTCATGTTGCCATAGACTATATACTGAATGATTTCGATCGATATGGAATCGATAATCGAAAAGGATGTTTTTAAAATAATATTTAATATTATTATTAGATTAGTACACGTTATTAAAAGTTATTTTTATTGAATTGTAGACATATATGGTGTTGTTTAAATGAAGTTTTTATACGTTTAAAACTAAGAGTGAAGTTTTTATTTTGTAGTTAAATAATCGAATAATCATTTTTTATTTAATTATTTGTTAATCGATTGCTTCATAAAAACAGTTATTTGCATATTTCGCTGAGAATTTATGCAGATTTTTGATATTTCATACAAAAAAAATTAAGTAATTTTTTAAATCTATTTTGAACTCATTACATTTTGGGCCCACCAGTTTCCATCTCCTTTATTAAAATTTAACAAAGCATTTGGAACAGTTCATAATCAACTTAATCACGTCCAGTACCTTAGGGTACCTAACCACTATACAAATTCTAAGTGTAGGTATTGTTTAAGAAAATTATTATTTATCATTATTGCTACAATATCATAGTTCCTTTATTCTTTGTTATGGATAAGAAATATACTTATATGTATATTAAAATGTTTTTAATAAAATTACTTTCATTTGTTAATCACTAATAATAAGAGTTTAGATTCCAAATTTTTTATCATTGTAAATGCTCATCTACATAAGTGAATAAAAGCCTTCAACAATTCCTAACAAACATGAATCAACAAAAAAAAGCAAACATTATATATTTATCGAAAATAGTCAGATCTCAATAAAAACAACACTTTGTCCTATCTTTACATTTGCAAATACCTTTTACATGTGTGGAATAATAATTCGTCCTTGGCGAATCGGGACTGAAATACCCAAAATCAAGACAAACAGTCCAACAATTTTGTTCCCCAATCGCTTCTTTAATATATTATGAGATACAGAATATATTTTCGATTTATTTTTCTCATCTTTCCCTTATACTGATATAAATCTTCAACGGAAGAACGGCTTTCAAATCTTTATTTTAAAATTAATATGAATAAGATGAATTTCAACATTAATAAATATAATATAGGAAATAGGAAAGAAATAAAATAGGAATCGGAAAACTTGTAATTAATTACTTTTATACATGGCCAGACTAATATTGTAAGTTGCATTTTTTTAAATCTCAAAATATGGACCTCCAATATGTGCTTTAAATACGCCACCTAAGTTGATAGAAAAATTTACATTATTATATAAACGTATACATCTTAAGATTATTCCAAGTTAAAACTTAAATTAAAATAGCTCTTTAAAAATCAAAGAAAACAACTCCCGTTTTCACCAAGTTATACAATCTGTGAAACCTATTTATGAAATTATAATAAGATGATTTGTTCATTGATCTTTAAAAAATCAACATACCTTTGTTTATCGTCAAGGTTAGCTTAGCGTCTTTTTATTCGGTTCTTGCTTGACGAATATGTAGTTTTGATAATATACCTACTTTCATTTCTTCAGGAGAAATCACGGAACCCACTTATCTCATCTTAAACTCATAAGGCAACAATCTTTACAACTCTTCTGCTATACTTCAATTGAAGCCCATTAATTCCCTTTACTAACAGAATATTTTCTGATAATGTTTTTTTTTAAATTTAAAGCAACGAGAAGGTTTTTAAACATTTAGCCGCCTTTCTTTCACAGATTTGAATTAGTCATAATTTTACCTTCGCTACAGCAAATTAGAGACTTGTTTAAACTTTTTCTTTAATTTTGGAATAAAGATGTGAACCTATTCTGTGTTACAACAAGAAGTTATAATGAAGGTTATTAAAACAAAAAATTCAGAAAGTTTTTTCGTATTTAATATTAAATATGAATTGATTTATTTTTGTTATGGCAACATCCAATAACAAAAATATAATATAACATTTCATTACAATTGTTTATAGATTTTATAAATATGTACATATATGTAATATTTTAAAATTATACATATATTTTTTAATTAGGCAATACAGAAAAGTAAAATCACAGTGATAAAAATATATTGCAGTTATATCAGATCAAGACTTCAACAAATACTTAATTATACAAAATTTTTATTATATAAAAACAATGATTGCTTTAAAAGGAAGTTACAAAATTCATATTGCTTTGAACATCATTCACTTAGAACGGCTAATGCCATTTCTTTAGAAATACTATCACACATAATATTCTGGTTTTCCGACTCATGTTCATCACTTGACCACCAGCTCTCATTGTCGTCATGTATGAAGCATAGAAATAAATCATCCTCATACGTCGGGAAGTAATATTCCGGCTGATCCCACTTCTCCTTCTTCAATACAAAATGTTTTGTCTCCTTTATGTGTTTCTCTAAGTTCTTAACATCATGAAACTTTGTCTCGCATGACAAGCATTGCCGTAAATGCATCTGACGTCGTATGTAATTAACTATTTTTACTTTGTGATAAAAATCTAATCCCGAAGTCAGTTTTGTGAATGAGAATTCATGTATTCTTTCCATGTGATCTAAAATATTTTCATACTCTGATTCGGTATGGTCACAAAGAAGGCAAGTTATTAAAGGTCCATTTTCTTCGGTCCATTCTGACCATTCAGGATCACTTTCCGGCTCGGATTCATGGTCATACTCTTCTTTATGTGCTATATTAGACGACTTAACACTATGAGGCTTGCTATATTGCTTCTTAGGAACGGTCTCCTTATCACCTACATAATTGACTAAAAAGAATTTATCATATTCTTTATTAACAGGGTTGATTCTCTTATGTCCCTTTTTACGCATGTGCTCTTTTAATATTGTCCGATCTTTAAACACACCTTCACAGAAGATACATTGAAGTTTTTCCAATTTATTCGCGATTAAATTGACAAGATCATCTATAAATATCAAGTTTTCTGGTTTAGCAATGTGAAAGTTGTGTTTTTCATAAAGATGATTCAAGTAGTTAGCTCTGGTATCATTTGAAACAAGCCTGCAGAAAAGGCATTCCTTTATATAATTTTTATCTTCTCTCTCAAATGCATGTCTTTCAAGTAATTCCTCTAATCTTCTCTGTCTGATGTTCACACGTAGTTCTTTATCCTCAGGTAAAACATCACTTAACAAGAAGTATTCCTCATTTTTTGATTTTGTTCCATCTGGTTTTGTGTCCAGCAGCATTGTAGTACAAAAATATGGAAGGTTACTATCTGTAAAGTAAATGTTACAGGAGGTTAATAGTGTAAAGGAATTTAATTTTTTTTTTAAATACATATCTTTTCAATAAAATGGTAGGAAATATTATAAAATACATATATTAAGAAATCGACACCAATATTGTTAAAATTTTACCTAGTAATTACGAACCTTTAAATCTTAATTTCCAATACTTCATGTAAGCTTGTAGGTCTGCTATTTGATTTACATCAGCTATTACCAGACGATGTTTCATAAACAAATGGGTGAGCATCTGTTTCTCAGACGTTGGTAACGTGAAGATTTCATCGCACATAACACAAGAACATTCAACTGACTTGCCACACTTAAATATTGAAGGCTTTTCGATTTTTTGATGTAATGTTAAAGGACCAAAATATTGCTTTTCAGTTGTAGCCATACTTAATATAAAATCTTGTGGTATAAATGTGTTTCTGGTAAATCGATAGGACTTTATATTTGACATATACGTCAAATGTCACACTTGACAGTTCTTTGGTTGCGTTTGGTACTATGTTCTAAAGGTTCGAAACAAACTAGAAAATTTATATTTTTTTATTAAAAAATTACAACAGAAAATGGACAATAACTAAATATTTTTTCAGTTAAATTGAACATGAATTTTCCATAACTTTGTTTTTGTGTATGTGTAGTAACTGTGTTTTTTTAGTAATTTAAACATTTCAAAAGTTATAAATACTATTATAATGTGTTACTTAATTTCCAGTTGATTAATTTTTAACTATAAATAACATCATGCTAGTTAAAAATTGCAGTTCTCGTATATGATTTGTAAAAATGTAATCAAAAAATTCAGCGTGAATGAATAATTAAAAAAATATTTAATTAGCGGTGTGTGCCCTTTTTCAAATGTATTTATTCTCCACTTTACAAAGTTTTAAAAATTAGACTTTATTATATTTTGCGCTTAAAAGTTATCTACTACTTTTTATTTTATAGATCCAATACAAAATTTCAAGTTTGCTCTATTGTAATGTCCCATTAGATCACGAAGCGGACTCAAAATGCGGTAAACTTTTATATTTTAATGCAAATCCAAATGGAGATGTAAAAATTTTAAGTTAAGCCAGTTTCCTTCATTAGAAGTATTTAAAGTTATACGTATTAATAATACAATAATAAATAATAATTTGGTTTTTTTTTAACTTATTTATGGTATAATGTTTAAACATTACCTTACCTGGCGTTAAATTGAAAAAAAAAGAAGATAAGCAGGCAAACTATTTTGATCCTTTATTGTTTGTTAAAAAAGACTAAGCATATTTTTAAAATTACACACATAAAATCGTAATGAAAATAAGAATATATCAGTGTATTATATTATTTATAGGTACAAACTGTTTGGGTTTATTCCTTAAATATACTTCTTACCAATCTACCAAATGCCTATAAACTTCGTTTTAAGAATAGCTTTTATAGCTCTCCAATGGCTCAATCGATATATTAGAATGAGCTTTGGCTTAAAGTCCCTATAAAAGCCCAATGTGTTGAAGAAGCGTGATCTGAGTTGAATAAAATTTTTGTTATTACTTACGTAGATATTGTTTTAATAAAATCAATTTGAGAGAAACTTAATTTCTGAAAATTTTAAAGACCTAAAGTATTAGAATTAATATAAAACAAAGACTGTAAGTTAAAACGACTGGTACTTAGCTATGACCATTTTTGCAACAAATCTCGCGATCCTAAGAAAACTTCGACCATCATTAGCACAGATAAGAGATTCTCACCACAACCTGGAAGACCTGCTTATTGAACGCTTTAATATCTATCTTATTATAGATTATTTTGTAATAATATATAATATTTTAATATTTTTCCTTTCACTAAGAGAGGAAAAAAAGGGTTGCATTTGACGATACAGTTGGAAACATGTTTTATTTGGTCATTTATTTCATATTTTAATATTCCACAGTAAATTTTTATTAATTTATTGTTTAGATTTTTGCTATAAATAAAAGTAACGACATTTTGAACTCTTCATTTATTAAGTTTCGTAAAATATAGACAAAAACTCACTTACTCTTACTATTAATTAATACACTCTCTGTAAAAATAGTAGGAACTTATACTCTGTTCAACTAAATGCCTGAAATATCTTTAAAATTAATATTAAAGCCTATCAAAACCTTAGACCTCCCTCACACTGAACATTTTGAATGGCAATTTTCCGCTCATGTGAAAGAGCTCTAAATTATAAAATTATCTTTATAAATAACGCAAATGCCTCTTAATAAGTTGTTTTGCTTATAACAAATCACTCGTAATTATCATTACATCTACATATTCAATTACGAAAATAAATAATTCTGTTATAATTTTAACGCCTGAAAATTTATGTACACATAATTTTTAACTAATAGAAATATGATACATATATCGTTAATCACTAATACTGATTACTTCGTTTCTATTCTTCTTTGCAAGTTGCATTAGTTTCCACATATAGAATATTGTATGGCACTGAGATCCCTTTAGAAGCGGCGGTTACTTGAATCCCGTATTTTCTTCCCGGTTTTAAGCCAGTCACTTTCTGGACTATTACTCTTGACCTGGAATAATAATGTCCTTACTTTTCTGTCGTACTTTCTAAATACATAATACCTATTATATTCTCGTTTCAAATAACAATTAAGTCTTTAGAGAATATTTTGTATGAAATTCTAGTATTCAAAAGTGAGCTGGTTTCAATTAAAATCTATTAACAAATATTTCTTTTCATAAGTGCTATATTACGATATAAGTAATAATAAAATTCCAGTCATCATGTAAACTGACTATACTATGACGAAATGAAATAAAAAAGATTTACATATAAAAAAACAAGTCAATTATAAAAAGATATATTCTATTTATTTTACTTACTGAGGTCGTTGCATGTGACTTATGCATTGTGTTTTTGTTGATGATTTTTTAGTTAACGCACAGATTGTTATGTCCTTGTCGACTATTTCTTTCGTTGAAATGCAATATCTGAAAGCAAATAGAATTGAAGAATAAGTAATAAGTGGGTATACACTAAAGGGATCAAAATTGAACAAGTTTTGGGAATATTATTTATTTCTGGAGTTAGATAACAACAATTCATGTTATGGCAGAACTATAGGTATTTAAAAAAGAATAATAAACAAATCAAAAGAAAGTCACATTCATTAGTATATTAGAGCTTGATAAAATAGATATAAATGTACGATTAATGTAGTTCACACCTGAACATAAATTGCTATTTATCCTACTAATATTATAATTGCGAAAGTTTGTGTGTGTGTGTATGTTTGTTACTTTTTCACGCTCAAACGGCTGAACCGATTTTGATAAATTTTTGTATACAGGAAGCTGACGTCCAGGAATAACACATAGGCTACTTTAAATCCCGGAAATCTCGGAAATCCGCGAGTAACACCGCGGGGCGTAGCTAGTACAATATAAATTGATTTGTTTTGTTAACCTTTTTTATCTTGTTTCATTGGATAAAACGTATTCAATAATTACCTTATCACATCAGTCGCATTATGTGTGGCTGGTAAGAAAGCAATGTCCACGGATTTACAAGACCTTCTCGGCCGTAGTTCCCTTATCACTCCACCATCAGACAATTCTGGCGTATCCATTCCCCATCGTGATGTTGAGGCCATTAACTGGAAAATGCATTAGTCAAATATAATACTCTTATTAAATAAGAAACTACTTATTGAATTTTATTTTTTTAATCTCAAAATAAAGTGCCAAAATCGTTATTAGTTATATTGTTACGTAACCTTGTTTAAGACGAAATATTTTTCTTAGCTCTAACCTAGATTTTAAACAAAAAACGACCTTAAAACTATTCTCACTCAATTTTAAATAGTCATGACATATAATATAGTTGTTAAAATTTATTAAAATTACATATCTGAAAGCAAAATGACAGAGATTACAACAGAATGATTTTTTGACCTAAATTAAATTTTCCGCCAACATTTAAAACAAGAAAACTAAGATTTAGTTTAAAAATTCTCATTTAGAATCAATGTGAATAGTAAAAATATAAAACAAAATTAACAATGAGTATTAAACTACGCTAAATTAGTTAAAAGGTTTAAGCTGAGCTACGGAAACAGTACATGTGAGACGGAACAAACGGTTACAAAGTTGCTAAGAAGATTACATTGATCGCCTTTTTTACAACATGGGAGTTACGGTTGTTATTTAGGTTTTTACTAACAATTACAAAGAACCCTGTCTCTATATCATATAGAGACACAATTCTGAAAGACTACCATTACTGTCACAGGTAAATATATACAGGGTGACTGGTGAATTACTATCAATATTTAAGGAGAATACTCGGTACATGATTCTCATTCGAATTATGTAAAAAAAATAGGCACTTAATTTTTGACAAAATTTCCGTATAAATAAATAAAGTGTTGACACGTTCCAAGTGTTCCAAGTGTGGACGCGTGCGGCGGCGTGCTGATACAACACTACGCCGCCGCACGCGTATGTGTGTGTGTGTGGATACCTAATCTGTAGGGTGTTCACACGATGCGTAATTAATTACATAACTTTTGGTTAACTTTACTTAGAAGTTTATTAATATTTATGTTATATTAATTTTTATTTGGTCATATATGATCGTCAAATATCACGTCCTCGAATATCGATAGTAATTCACCAGTCACCCTGTATATGTATATTAAAGTAACGTTAGCAAAAAACTAAAATCTATTTTTAGTTATATGAAATTTTGTCGAAAAATAATTAATAAGCTACCTCTATTGTAACAGCGCCATCTATAGCCCATTTGTTAGGCACTACTCGTACAACGTATCTTATTTTTGATTCCTCTGAACTCGAATCGAACTGCACAGAACCTTCGTCACTCGTTTCTTGTGTTGATGAAAGTATTGGTGATGGCACGAAAAACTTTGAATGTGTTTCTGTAATTCATTTGTATATAATCATCTTATAATTACAATGAATTAAAATATAAAGTAATATTAGTATAAAATACCTATATTTTTGGCCACATACAATCGCTTTCCTTTTACAGACACTTCGATGTCTACTGAACCTCCGCATGTGGATGTAGCTAGCCAAAGACCAGCGTTAGTCGAAGTACTACTGGTTGTTGTCTTAAATTATAAAATAATAATAATATTAACTTTAACTTGACACTCGAATGAGCTTATAATATTAATCTACAGTTGTTTTAAACACTGATAATTTCAGTTTTGCTCACCTTCAAATAATAAACATTTTTTCCCTTTATGTCAGCCCTGTAAGGAACATTTTCCCGTAGTCTTTTAGCAGTAGAAGTCCTGGGACGAACGCTCCCTGATGCTAATAACGACCCAATTTGTCTATCCCTTGCAATGCCGAAAATACTGACGAAATAGGTCTAAAAAAGATTAGTATAATTTAGTGTAACCAAAAATTTTTCTGAAAATATTATAACGTGTACACCACTTACTGTGCTAGGATCTAAATTTTCAATGAAGTGATGTGTTCTGTCTCCTATACAAACAACCAGTGGATCTTCGTTTGATACTCTCGTGCTGCGACCTTTTAAGCATTGCTGGTTAATTTATTGAAGGAAAGTTTTTAAAATAAATTACTTATAGTATAAAGATAGATCTTCAATCATTATTTCTACACGAGACTATGTAAATATGTTTGACTTTATCTTTACTTTTTGTGTATACAGAAAAAACATTAAAAAAATCCAATTATATATATGTTGATGTACTATAAAAGTCGATTAAAAAAACTTAAAAACAAATTATAAATGTATGTGTATATTGTATATACTCACCAAACTTCTTTCTTCTATACAAAGTCCTATAATTTCCATCAAAAATACTTATGCTGTCTGTATCTATATCTATTTTATTCTCTTCTGAACCGCTGTTTTGTGAACGGTTAGGTTTATGGTTTTCTAGCGAATGATCAGAGTATCTATCTTTTTCGGTTTTTGTATTCCGGAGATCGTTTTGAGCTGCGCAAAGTGAAGTGTAATTTTTCCTCCGAGATGCGACCACACAGTAAGTCGTTGATTGAGGATCTATTGGACTGTAAAATTACGTAATTTTTTATATTCTTGAAATTTTAAAACATGTTTTATTCTTTTACATAAGCTCTGAAATTATGTTAGTAAGTTTAAAAAGATTCTTTCAGTTTTGATATTAAAGAATTCATCAGATTATAATAATTTATATTTTAATACGCGAAGTTATGTTTATTCTGTTATTATTTCGTTTTTCATAATCACCTGTCTTACGTTATGTATCAATTACAAACTATAAAAAAACTCGTTTAATCTACAAACATAAGAAAGGAGTAATAGTGAAAAGAAATAGTGTACACGGTTTATAATGAGAACTAAGATTTTCACGAGTTACTCATTTAACTGAAACTAATATTTTCGGATTTATTACGCGTTTTTATTTTTGACTATAAACAACATAAACCTTACGTTTCCGCTACTTTTCAGCAACCGTGATCACGGGCAAACGAGATGTGAGTGTCTGTCAGTCGGTCTTGTTATTTTATCACCTACCGCCAACGATTTCTTAATCTTCTGGCCTACCGCTCTGGATGCCGGCTAAATGCGAAACGTCTGGAGTATGTAGTTTATAGTCAAAAATAAAAACGCGTAGTAGATCCGAAAATATTAGTTTCACTTAAGTGTACACAGTATAGTTGTGAACCCTTAGAAATGCTAAATGGTATATATTAATTCATAATACAAAAGTTGAATTGATAATTTACTGTCAATAAACAGTTACCTTCAAGACGTATTGTTCAGGTAAAGATTATTGAATAAATTGAAGTGTAATTAATATCTTAACAGTCACGTACTATTAAGCTAATATTTAAATTTAAATGAGAGAATGCAGAGTTAAAACTTTATAGAGACAAGCAAGATTCGAAACTGCAAATTAAAAAAAATCCCTAAACAATGTGTTTCGGCGCATAACGCTTACACAATTAATTTTATATAATATATTAATTTTACTATTCTGTTTGCTCTTGATCTTTTATAATGGCAACACTGGTAGTAAAGTAACGTCATATAATATTTATTGTTTTAATGGGCAAACTTTATTAATTGTCAATTGTCATTCTGTCTATTCTGTCTCCGATTGCAACACCTTTTATATTAAACCAAGTTATAAAGTTTTAATTTGGCACCAGTGTATAACGAAATATACACAATGCTTTTCTAACTTTGCAGTATTCAAGGAGTACAATATGGATGCCATCCTCACTATTAAATTTGTATAATTAGTAATTGTAACAATATTTTTTCTTTTTAAAAGTACTAAACTGCGTGCAACAAAAACTAAAGAAAAAAGCTTTTTTTGAAATAAGGTCAGATGTGAACCCGAAAGTTCAATTTGTAAAGTTAAGGGCCTAAAAAATGAATCTAAATAGCGCATTACCTAAACGACACTTAGAAAACTTTGTTCATTTATAAGAATTTCTTGATAACTTTATACAGTTTTCATAAGTTTAATGGCGGGATCTTTTTGAGTAGATTTACTTGCGTTTTTGTTCTATACATAATAAAATTTCTTATTGAACAACTTTCGCTAGCCAAAAGTGATATTAATCCACAGAGCCTTACGAAGTTGCAATAATTACAAATACTACATTATTTTTTCTACTATTGGATATACAAAATAATACTTTTTTCACATAGTCGCTATTGATACTTTATCTTCTTTCAACAACCAAACTCCTTTCCATTTTAATATTTAATATTCAATACAGATAAGGTCAAATAAAATAAGTTACTAATCACTATATAGAGACACCGCTACAGTTAAAAATAGCTGGCTGCTATAAAAACTTCTAATCATGAAAAAAGTGATGTTTTTAGCCGTTTAAGCCTATACATCATTGTAACGCTTTTTGTTGCTACTAAACTTCTGGTAAAGGTTGCGCAATGCTTCTGAGATGGAAGTGAGTAAACGGTTTTGAAAAATTCTATTCAATTTCATTAAAGGTAAGGTAGGTTTTACGATTATAAGACTACTCGTTCCAATAAAAAGTGCTAGGGTAATACTCTGAACGAGGAAATTTATTATTTATTTAACTGTACATTCAATTGTATTTTTCTAAAACTAAAGGTATGTATATTTTTCTAAAAAATATCGAAAAACAAACAGAACCTTTGTACGTAAAAAGAAAGTTGAGTTTGAATTTAAAAATTTTTAATAGTAATTTTATTAATCCTACATTGCGTCACTTAGTTTCACAAAATTATATCGCGCATGTGTATATGTAAATGATTGTGATTATATAGAAGGGAAGATATGGGAAACGAAATTTCACTAAAAAATCGATCATTTTATTACTACTGTAATCAGTACGAAAAAATGTTTTCTTAACACTATGGAAGTGTCATTCATCACTTTTGCCCGTGTAGTGTAAACAATAATATAATAAATGAGCATAGTTGTTTAAAAAACAGTCAGTGGTGGCCTAGTGCATGAAGGCGCGGGTTCGATCCTGGCAAGTACCAATAATATTTTTCCGAGTCATATGTACCTTCTTAGAGTATTTAGACATCACCGATTAATGCATTCCCAAAGAGGGTTGTTGTCAGGCAGGCGGCCGGTCGTAAAAACAATTAGCCAAAACTATTCACAACATGTAAGGCAGACCTTGGCTAAAAGCTGGGAAATTACCAGGTAGAAGAAGAAAAGAAGAAGTAGATTAAAAAACAGAGTTATATTTAAATGTATACTTGCAAAAATCTTAGATATTGTTATGAGAATTAATTGCAGAATTTAAGTTTTGCAGAATTTAAGCAGTATTGAGTATTATATATGAAATCGTAATAGATTATTAATTTTACTGTATAAGACGTACGTGCATTTTTTGTGATTTTCTTTGATAAATATTGTAAATAAAAGTAATCATACAATGAAACTCCATTTTTTGTTCAAATAATATTAAAAAGATAAATCCTTTCGAATTATTTATATATAATAACCTAGATGGCAGTACATAGATCTCAAAGAGTGAAATATAATGGTATAAGAAATTAGTAAAAGTATTAAAAACGAATTAACATTCAAAATAAACACAATAAAAATATCTTGTAAAGACAAAAATTTAGCATGAACTAAAATTTTAACCAATTGCGTTTTATTTAATTATATATGTTAACATATATAATGTGATTTGTATGTAACATTATATGTGATAAATATAAGTCATGTAATATAATAAAAAAATACTATTTAATAAAAATATAAAAAAATAAGACTAAAAAAGATAAGCCTCTCTAAACAACTGTCAAGAATTCAAGAATTATAATATGACAAAAATGTTGCATGCTATGGGATTCCACGATTTTTTTATATGGTTTTAATCATAGCAGTTCTAGGTGCAGACTGTCTATCATAAGTAAAAAAAATTTTGGTCACTGAATTAAATATTTTTAATCTTATAAGTCTTAATAAATTTTTAAACTATATTTTTAATTCCTTATAATACCAATGGAAATGTATAAATTTAATAGGAGAGGGCAAAATAAGGTTACATACAATAGCACAGCGTGATATAGACTCACTGGCTGTTCTTCATAAAACTTGAATAATCTATTTACAAGAAATTATTTATGTGCCAGTAAATTGCAAATGGAGTCCCTGTTTAAGTACCCTACCTCTAAAAGTTTTAAACGGACTTTACTAGAGTGACAGATGCAATAAACTGTACTATACGGCAACACAAAAGAACAAGTATATAACAAAAGTCTCCAGAACACTCTTGTTACTAACAGAAGTATGATTTTACTTTTATTTAGAATAAAACAAATAAAACTTCTAAGAGCCCGAAATTCGTTTTTTTAAATGGTGTCCAATTGGTTCTATCTATTGGCAAGATAGTTAAAACTTTTTTAATCCCTACCAGTAAAATTTTGTTAAGTTCCTCTATTACATCTTTCATTTTCATTTGTATATTAATTAATTAATTTATATTTTTATTCATAGAACATGAACATTTTGTTGACACTCATTTCGTGGTAGTCAGAATCTATGTCTTAACCGAAAAAAGGGTTAAAAGTTTCTTATACGCGAAACTTTTTCTTTGGTTGGTAACACCGATCATCAATTAGCGATTAATAGGGGGAATCACTTATTTTTTTACCGAATGAATTAGCATAGCCATTTAGAGAGGAAGCGCGGACTGCATTCTTGCCACTCTTCAACACGGACGTGTCCCTATGACATTTATTTTTTGCTTTAAGTATAATTGTTGTGTAAATAAAGACAACATGACTTTTTCCTATTCATTTGTTGTATACATTATTATTTGTCGTATAGATCAAAGGACGTTTAATATTTTAAAATCTATGTCGCGTGATATGGAATATTAGTTCAAATTAAATATTATTTATTATAATCATATTTGTTACAAATTATGTAAAATTTATAAAAACTTTTGTCTATTTTGTGAGATTAAATATAGAGTCAGTAATTATAACTTAATCAAATAATTCAAATGTTTATAACTCTAGTTTCTTAGATTTGTAAACATTGTTGCACATGCCTCTATCCTTGTTGGTATAATTCTTCAAATATTTTCAAGGAAATGTAATAAACTATTCCGACTAAGTATATTAATTTAAATATATATTTTCGATTTTCATATATACTTTAGAAAAACTTCAAAGGTGAACAATTGCATTGTTCAAATTTCTGAAGTCGATCTATATAAAAAATTGTAATGGGCAATCAAAAATATATTTTTTTATAATAAATAATATAGTAGATGACGATTTTTTTGTTACTTCAACCCAAAAAAAAGTAAGGTAGGCATTTGAAGCAAATTAAATAAACTCATAAAATAATTGAATACTTGTTGAAGTTTTAATTTATATTCCACAGCAGCTTTTTATGTAAAATAATTTCACGCATTGCAATAATAATCTTAGTCACAAATTAATTTGTAAAGCTCAAAGGATATTTGTAATGCAAACTAGATGAAACTCAATCAGAAAGTAGTAAGTTAATAAATCGCATACCACTGTCTCCTCGGGAATTAAAATGTATACATGACATTGGAAAATTAACCTTCGGCCATCAAACATATAATAGATTTTACAATGGATCGCTGCATTAAAACAAAACGTTGGAGGAATGAAGGTAGCCTTAGTAACCATTTGTTCTATTTGTCGAGTACTTCAGTAGTTCTTCAAGAATAGTAAAGACATTTTATATCGACGTCATTTAATTACCTTTATATCCTCTAATAGCGGTGTAGGTTACTGGCAATTTTTTTTATTATATTTGTGAAACGTGTGATATTTATACGTGTATAAAATTAGTTTATCTCAACATCTGACTTCTTAACTAGTTTACTCATTAGAATATATGGAATGTAGTGAAATGCAATTTGATACTTAAATAATATTTTACTATTCTTATTCGTTTCAATTAATAAGTATAAGTTACCATCTTAATGTGTATCAGTTATTAAGCTATGTAGATTGTACTTTGAATATGTTGTTATATATTATTAATAATAAGGTTAATACTAACACTAAACTAAGCATGTTATCATGTTACCTTCTCTAACTAGTTTTATATTTTAATATATGTAAATTATAATAAATTTTAAACTCTTTTCAACAACCGACCATTTCGCATGTTCAGGACTATAAATCGGAATGTAGTATCGGAGGCAGTATGGCTCCGTAATCGTATACAATTAAAAGAGTTCAGATGTTTCTCGAATACATTGTTGCAGATTACCCATAAACCTTAAACCAAGTAATGCCTTCGCGCTTCACGTCGTCAATAAAAAAAATCTTTTTATGTGCCAGCTTGTGATCATCGTTTAAAACTGATGTTATCAATTATAGGAATACGACTATAAAAATTTATAGCAGAAAATATTAAAAGATAAGTCAGTCATGACTTATAGGTGCATGAGTTGTATATTAATATTTAAGTCATAATTTTTATTTCGCAAACTGTTTACATTAAAAATATGTCAATAATATAAAGTTTTAGAAATTAATGTATTTTTATATAAGAAATATTAATAACAAATCGATCTGGTTTCCAATTGAATGTGTTTAATAGTCTTGGAACCTGATCAAACTTGTCTCTATTTTACAAGTGTCTTTCATAACGCCTAGCAACTTTTTGTGGCAAATAGCGATTATATTTGTGAAAATATTCTTATTTTATATCTCACTATGCCATCGTAATTTATTTACACCTATTACAATATTATATACTTTAAAAATCAATTCAATTAGTAGTAGGTGTGAATTTAAATTGATATAAAATGAAAAAATCATCATTATGAGCTAGATTCGAATTGGCAAACTGCAGAATAAGGCGATGCAATTGCTTTACTAATTGTGCCTAATTTTACTTTTTTACTTTTAAATCTTGTATAATTTGAACATGGCCTTAATGCTCAAACATAATTATAAAAGCTATTAAATGAGATGGTTTAGAATTTAAAAATATTTTTATATGGCATTTTTAACTTGAAAAAATTTTGTAGTATTAATATTTAAAAAAACCGCTTACAGGTTATGTATATGAAGGTTCTGTAATATCAAGTCATGAGAGCTGTCAATGCATTTCAACATGTGATGTGAACTTTATCGAGTCATATCTAACCACCATACATGGTGTATCATAAATTGTGTGCCCGTTCTTGTGACAAACATACGGACAGAACGGATTTATGGTCTGGGAGAGCTATGGCTAACGGTGCTATTTCACTGACAACTTTTTATAATACACCGTTAATACATCTGGAAAGTAGGCAAAAATTTCTATACATCACATTAATTTCATATAATGACGCTCCGAGTAGGTTCAGGTAGAAACAACGGACATTCTTTCGTTCGAACATGTTTGATTTATGTATCATACTCGTCGTGGGCAGTCAGAATGTGGCTTTGAATAGAAAATATGGGGTATTAAGAAAATATTACCTTGGATCCCAGTTGGCGGACAGGCGTCGTTTGGATTTAGTACGCAAGCGGATCCGCACGTGTCTTGTCGCCTCGCCCCGCACGCTGACAGCTGCCGCACCACCTTTCGGCGAGGAAAGCTGGTGCAATAAAAATGAAATTAGGAAATTGTTAACAAATAGCAAAACGCCGCGAGGAATACCAATAAATATATGAGAACGTTGAAGACCTCACGCATATGTATGAATTGTATCGTTCACTGCCTTTTCGTATTCAGAAACGGTAAATTTTATATATAACTGATAAATTTTATTCATCTAAAGATGACAAATATTTACGTCAATTGCAGCGAACTTTCAAATAGACAAGACCTTTAAAAGGCTATATGAAATAAACTACATTAAATAATTCTGTAACTTGTTTTGATTATGGCGATCTCTAAGATTTTTTTGTTATATATTTAATATATTTAGTTATTAAGAATTTAATAAACAAATTTTGCTTATTTCCAAAAAGTTCAAACTGAATGTAGGAATGTAATTGCGATTGTCAGATATACAACCCCATTTTTTATAATATAAAATTTTAAGAGATATTTTCAAATTCTTTTTAGCAACTGTAACCTGCGCAGACCGAATCAGAGGTCTTAGATATCATTAATTTTAATATAAAATTTTTATACAAATAAACATGTATGTAAGAATTCAAAAATGTATCATTGAATGCAGAACTGTTTATTAATAAATGATTAAAGATGCATGTACCTGTAATACGTATCTCTCTTGTTTGAATATTTGAAAGGTTATCGTGTGCATCTCTCCGCCTCCGTGCTCTTGTATTAATTGAAGTTGTTCTAAAAAAATATACATTAATCGTATATTTATTTATAAAACAAACTAGAAAATGTTCGTTATAAAAAAACTGGTTACATTAAAGCATTATCAGAAGCTCTACTTTTATCGTTGTTCATAATTCAATTGTAATATCTTAATAATTTTACTATCGTGCAAAGATTCTCGTAATAAATATGTCTTCTGCTTACTGTCACTCCCAGTAGGTCCTTTATAGAACGCCCAATGCAGGTGTCGCGAGCACGGGCTCACGGTGATGTAAACAGCTGTTTGGGATATCGAAGACGTGTTTAGTTCGAGACTGAAACAAATTGCATACAGGATTAATTTGTACCGTATGTGGAACAAGGCCAATAGGGAACTAGATGAATATATGTTCTAATATCTATTATTAAATATATGTGATCAACGTGTGTATTTCAATACTTTTGTGATTAAACCCTTACAAAAGCAACAAATTTCCGCTACTTTATGTTACATATCGAACGAGGTAATAGATTGTAAAGCATTTTAGTCTTCTTCCTATTATTCTTTCTTTTATCTTAACTCAAATACAAGATATGATAAAAGCACAAAGTAACAGACTAGGATTAGGATCAAGTAAAGACGCCAAAGAAATGGATATATTACAGTCTTTTATTCGGCAAGACGAGAATCCTAAACACAAGATCCGTGCAATGTGTTTAGAAATGCTGAACAAGTGGTTAGACATAGAATAATTTTTGCATTCCATTAGCTCCAAAATCGCACTCCTTAATTTATGGTTGGTTGCCGGTACTGCCAAAAATTTATCTTAATTCCTTCTAAATAATTGTCAAAATCATAGTAATCTAGTAAGATGAGGTAAGAATACCGATAAAACTTGCTAAACTGCGGAAGGCAGTTAAAACTGCTAAACATTTGCTGGTGGGCTGTAAGGCACACTTGGATTGCGGTCGATACTCGCGATTCCACGATAAGGTTTTAGAAATCAAACGAGAAACGGTCAGTCCATCCTTAAAGTGGGTTCGGATTGGACTGTACTGATAGAGACGTATGAGAAACAATGGGAAATCCCAGATGATATTTGTGAGTCGGCGTCCAGACTTGACATATTTCTGTATTCGCGAATTTTAAAGCGCGTTGTGTTAATAACGCTTACGGTTCCTTGGGAAACAAACATCCCCAAAGACCATTCCATTCAGGTCAATAAGTAACGAACTCAGTAAGAATAGTTTCGTCGTCAATTTGTTTTCGGTAGAAGTGGGAGCGAGACGTATAAAAACTATATGTCTCTACAGCCTACTAAATTTGGGCCTGGATATTTAAAGTTATTTACTTTTTGTTTATTGCACTCTCGGCCGATTTTCATATTTCTCTTCCCACCTAAAGTTCTCGAAGTATCTATTACCGTATTTTTTCTGTATAACAACGTTCTAATTTGTCACCAAGCGATTTGGTATCTATTTACAAGATCCTGCGTTGTATGCGAGCGCTCCAACTGTTTATGAGCCGAATAGCTTGAGATAATTTTTTAACATATTTCATACATGCTATCTTTTTTTACTTCATTGTAAATTTCGTTCATCGTCGTATCTACTAGAACGGTTCTTCTTTCGAACTTCGATTTAAATAGAAATTAAAGACTATTTAAGTCTTTTTTTCATTTCGCAAAATTGTATGTAGTTTGTAACTCTTTTCCGCTGAAGTTCGTCAAAATGGATGCAGTTCCTTAGATAACGATGGCGCTAATTATGTATTTGGAAAATTTAAAATTCATCTGTTTAAGGACTTTTTTACCGAGTTAAATTTAATATACCTATTTACTATGTATTATTGTTTTTGTTTAAGATTTTTATAATAACATTTTTCACTATCTTTACTGAACGAGTTCCTCTCACGCAGGCTCTTTTGTAAAACATCCTAACTACGTACTCTTTTTCTTTTGTATTAAATATTTAGTAGTTTCTAACTAAAGTTGCTATGTTAAATTATTATCTCACACTATTTCGAACCTAATTATATATATACATACATTTATAAGAGACCTATAAAAATCTATTTAAATCCAAATCTAAAATTTTCAGGACAGATATCATTAAAGAAACTTTAATTAAAGTGACGATTCGTTAACGAAGTACAGTTTTAGAACAGATTTATTCTAGATTCCCTTAGGCATAAATAGCAATCCTTTATAGACAAAGTTTGGACTGACTCAAAAATAATTGTAATTGTTAAATAAATTTTTCAAAAAGCCTCTCTAATTAACTTATATTTAAAGAAAAGAAGACTTTTATTGACATACACACAAAGAAAAATAAAAACAACATTACAAAAATAAAGAAAATGAATATAATTGATATAAGACTTGTGTGCAGTCAAAAGAAGACAGCTCGGGCTATGAGGGTTTTTTATCCCTGTGCTGTTTTTCAGCTGTATTTGATATATTAGTTTAACAAAAATGTATATACTTTCGACTTTCTCCTTCTTCCAATGTGTATAAAGTCTGATTATCCATTGGCAGCCATTCTCCGGAGAACCTGCTGACTGGTCTGGTGACGAGAACACTTGGAGCAGCGAATCCAGCTCTTGCTGCGTGAAGTATGATCAGCGCTGCTAGCCTTGTCGTGACGATATCCGGACTTCTGGAGATAAGAAATATTATTGAAAAATCCTATAAACTATTTGATTACTCGTATCTCCTATATAACTTTTGTAGGATATCGTGAATGCAGAATTTACAAAAAGATCAAAACTTCCACGTACGTAATGTATGTACATTCAAAATTTAAATATAATAACCCTATCATTATCCTTGTGATTGCGAAAGTACATTTTGTATTATTATTTATAGGCAATTCTGTGGCTTGCATTGTAAAGCTATTCACAGTCTATTAGGGAGGGTCATTTAGGACCATAAAATATCGATGGTCCGATAATGGTAATGAGTTTTGAATCTTTTACATTATTATCGATTGGTGTATTCATGGATTCCAAAATAATTTCATTCAAAAATAAAAAACTATGTAGTATAAGACTAGTATAAACAATATTATTAATTAGTAAGATGAATTAAAAGTTGATACATATTTAATTTATTTTTTATCTATGGATATGTTTAAAATATGTAGCTGGTTGGAAAAAAAAAACTTATTCTCGATGGTATTATCGGTTATAAGAACTTATTGTTTGTTGTTTACGAGATGTGTAGGCTGAGTCACGCACAACCTTTACCTTCGCCCTGTAACGATGACTCAACATATGGTGGTAATGTATATACGGCTATAAAAAATAAAAGCTCTATGGTTCTGCAGATATTAGTTTGATATAAAAAAAAAACTTTTTTTCATTTTAACTATTTTTAAATATGCTCATAAGAGCAAAAGAATCACTTATATAATAAAAAAATAGTATCTTTGACATTGCCTTTCAACCGACTTTTATAGTAGAGGAGATTATATGATATAAAAATATTACTCTATATTTTTTGTTTTCAAAATAATATTTTAATTGATACATACATATTTATAGTTAAGACCCTTTTGTATCGCAACAAAATGTCTTCAACTAGTTTTTCCCCGCTCTTTTATTCTTTTTTTAAGTCTCCCTGACGGCCTGATGTGATTTCATTTACTTGTATGTAGTCATTAAAACTCCTTCATTATCCAGTGAAAGTTTCGTTAGCCCGAACGAGAGTTTCGTTCACGCTCTCCAATAAAATATTCTAAACAAACTAAACTTGAACTCTGGGCTCTAAAGCCAACGACAAAAAACAAATTGTATATTGATTAAATTAGAAAATAAACCTTCGTCAGCGTTCACTTTAGATCATTTCTTTTTATCTTATTTTAATTCAATCAGTCGGTTTTGTCAAATGAGATGACATTTCATAAATCATGACCTTTTAATTACGTGACGTTTAGGTTACTTGTCGACCACCCATCGATTACATATGAAAAGCCACTTATTAGAATGGGTAAACGAGATGTTCTTTTACACCCTGTCATTAGTCTGTTTGTTTACCTACATAATAAATTGGAAAGAGTTATTTCAAGTTTACTTCTTCAGGGACATACAAATTCATATATTAAGGATTACTACCACATTGTTAGTGATATTAAACACATTAAAAACAGGCTTAACTTATTGGTTTACCTATTGCTTATTGCATCAAGATTGTAAAAAGAAAGTTGGAGGATTATATTATATAACACGTATGTAAATAAAATAATATGCAGAATTTAATCATTGTCTAATTTCTGGCTACCTTATTTGGAAGGAAGCATCCTATAGACAAGTTGATGAAGTAGCAATAACTTTCCTGACGTCTCAGGTTTTCGCAGATATATTTATGTATAGTGGACATTAGGTAGTTAACCTTACTTTGTATTTAGTCATCCAATTGTTAAATTAACAAACAATTCAAAAAAATCATTATAATTGTGACAAGAGAAGACAGCTGGCAGTTATCTTGTTACCCCAATAATTTACATCCCATATCCTTGAGCACACTACCTAGACCAGAGTATCAGACAAAATTTGAACATTCTACGTGCATTCACAGTAGTAGGTAAACGAGAAAATTAAAGAACCTTTAAGGCTTAAAACAAAAAAAAATACTGATAGACACTTAATTTCTTCTACCTGTAATCTTATTTATTGAAAAATAATACTAACGACAGGTAAAATTTAAACTAATAAAGACAGAGAAATTAAATAAGCAAAACAGATTTATTTAATTGTTACTCCCAAAAGTATTAAACATCAATAAAAAGGTAGATTAATTAAATTAAAGAACACCACCTTAACAATTTTGCATGTATGTATTTATGTCAAAAACTAAATTATAACATTAGTTTATTGTATTAAAAAATTTTCACAAACGTCGTAACATTGATTTTTTAAACTTTGACCGAACCCTTTCAATAAATGCTCGTAAATTATACAACAAAGGGTCATTGTTTTCCTTCCCACATTTGAAATATTTAGCAGTACGTCATAAATGGTTGCACCTAACCAAGCATATGTATATGTACCACCTTTTAAGTACTTTTATAATGGTGATCCTGGATTTAAAGTAACTTACTAAATTAATATTCTAAAAGCACGGTAACTATCATTTCTGTATTTTTTTCTTGTTTTATAATATGAATAACTAGTGAATAATGTGTTGTATAACTTATAAACTTTTAAATCTTTTAAGAAATAAATATTATATCTGAATTGACTTTGAATGAATGTATTCACCCAAACATAATGTAATGAATTAGTTAAATAATTTTATATGTAATTATAACATACAATATGTTAAGAGTTAAAGGAAACTCTCTCAACAAAAAAATCAGTTTCTCGTTGTAACGTGACGACAATTTTCTTTAAATTCAAAATGTAAAGTAATTTATTTGATTATTTCAATTATTTTCGATGCTATTCTTAGCTGGAGTAGGATTGTTAATCGTGGAGAATCCTCAAAAGCTGATATATACGCAGACAAAACAGTACCCCATAATTCTAGAAAGGGCTTATTGAACTTTTAATCGAACTAAATATATTCACATTTCTTCCTCAGTTAGATAAAATACAGGTTTTTTTTTTTAACTAAGAAGTCGACTATATACATTAAATAAAATACTCAACTTATATTCAGTTAAAAAAAAATTGCAGTTACTTTGACACAGAATTCTTACAATCATTTTTTATTGTTGTGTTGACAATTTCTTCTTCAGTTTGTGAACAGTACTATTATCTAAAATTAACATATCTAATAATTTCTTGTTTGTTTATCTCTAGAGCGACATTGTGTTGAATTGAGGCCTATAGATTTCAAATAACTATCTGGTATATTTCATTTTGTTACTGACCAAAATTCAGAGATTGTTCAAAAGTTTCACGAAGAACTGTTTCTTTTGTGAAAACAATTAAACCTAAAATATTTACATAAACATCACAGAATCAAATTATATAAACAACAAGGAAAACATAAAACCAACAGCTATGTACTTACATGTTAAATAATCATATAAAATTTATTATATTATGTATAAACAAGAAGCCGTACGCTTATCGATTATATTAATAATATCCAATAATGCATCTAATTTATAACGCAATGGTATTATAAATGAGTCGTTTATGTTTTGATGTATTAAATACACGATTGCGATAAATCGGATTCAGAAATAGATGATATAAGGAATGGTCAATCACTAGGTTCTGGCACTTATTCAACACCCACTTACCAAGTCTAGCTTTGGTTACTGACAGTTATATGTCTTGCAAAAATTTTACTCGTACGGTTGTTTCATATTAACCGGTTTATATTGTGTGCTTAAAAAAATGTTCACCTCTACAACAACATAATAAAGTAGGTTTAAGCAAGGAAATGATTCATAAGCAATTTTTAGTTGAGCATATTTTGCTCTTAAGTCAAGTCATATGCTTGGTAGCTTAAAATTTTCAGTTATTGTATAAAAACAACTAAATTCATAGATGCGTACTAAATAAAATAATGTAACCGGTCCAGTGTGGTGATACCATAAGTATATCAATCGTGACGCAACTAATTATGTAATACGTGGTTATTAGATACGAGGTTGAAACTGTGTCAAAGAATATTTATTAATGTCCTTACTGAACGAACATCCGATTTAAATGGATACAAAATTCATACTAATAAGATAAATTGCTTATCTTAACACTAATCTCAGTAAGTAGAATGTAGAAAAATATTTTAAACTGTACTTATGAAGAAGATTATTTGATTAATCTGATCAAACGTAATAAGGTTAAAAAGGCTGTCGAATTACTTATTAGTAAATTATGTGTCAAACATTATGTAACTATTAATACATTAACATATAGCTGAAATAATAATAGGTAAGTCTGATTCAAATTTGGGGTATTAGAAATAATGTTAACCTAAATAATGAAACAATAATTGTGACAGTAATTTATTTTGTTAGAAGAACTGCGCTGAGGAACAAAATGGCCTTACTAAGATCCTTTCTCGCTTAGTAAAATAAAAACATCGTAAAATAGAAGATTCATTCCTTCCGCAATGTACATAATAAAATAAATCTTAGCAAATGGGAGGGTTAACTTTAAAAAGGAAAACAAACCGAATGACCTATCGTTCGCTAGTGTTGGAAGGAGTTATTGAAAATTAATTTTTAACTGCACATTACCGATGTTGTAAAAGGTTTGAAATAGTGTTGATACTAAAAAAAAACCTAATTCAATTAGTTGAAATATCTGAAAAGTCGTCTGGAAGTACTAAAAATAAATTCACATATGTGATAAATCTTAAAGAAACTGAAAATTCACGATGCGTCAATGGTATACAGTAAATATATCAATGGTTGTCACAGGGGAGTAAAAATCACTATAAATAAGCAGTCTGCCCGTCAGTCTGCCATGCTTTTGTTTCTGTCTGGTTTTGATGTATTTTACTTTATGTTGCTGATTTCGACTCGTGTTTATAAATAACTCAGTTCGTACGCACTGAGTTGACTCGACGGACCGTATATTTTTAACTGTTTCTGAGAAAAGAAGAAAACTTTTGTCAATTTTTTTTTTCTAATTAGTGATGCAAGAATCCTTTGTTTCTGTTTCCGTCACAAAAAATGTAATTTAATTATTTTTTTGCAATTATTTATGTGCTTGCAAATTTATGTTTCATTAATTTTAAATATTTTGTATCATCTGAAGTGTCATGTAACTATTTGTTGCTTTAGAATAAATTTTCATTAAGATGATACCAATAATCTCATTGAAGTTCAACCTTATCATGAATTTAGATCCCTCAGCTCCACTTCGTATGGAAACGAGTTGCTTCGTTTCTGCAATCGAATTTTATAGCTCAGTGTAAAAAAAT